CATCCAGTTCATGTGGGTGGTACCCAGTACATCTTAGCTGTTTTACCCCTAAGACAGAACTCCAGTTGGGTCATTTACGTTGTGAATCTAAGTACCAGTTAGGTGCTAGAATGCTAGGATAAGCCAGTTAGTGTATCTTTCCAACAGAAGAGCTTACATGGATTTCTGGGGAGGGCAAAATGAGAACAAAGAGAGCTCTGTGATTATAAAGGATGTGAAAGTCTGATATGCTGGTTTTCCCCACCTGCCGAGCAAACCATCATGCCCACAAGCATCTATCCTGTGTCAGTGATGGGGCACATCACATCCATGCTTTCCTGTTTAGGGCCCCCATGTGACCCCTTTGTCTGTGCTCTCACTTGATCTGACCTTTTCCTTTTCAACGTGTTTTCAGAGCCTCCCCTTCCAGAAGTAGAATTTTCCACGGTGTACGGAAGGCCTTTACCACGTCTGAAACTAAGGAAAGTGAAGGAGAAAAATGGACCTATCAGGTCAGTAGCTGTCCTTTGCCCGGTGATGCTCATAGAGTGGTTTGGAACTTTGGTGTGGGTGAGGAAGAGACTTCTGTGTGAGTTGCTTCATTCAAGTAATTACCATGCAGTCAGTTCTGACTCATGGAGACCCCATGAGTTTCAGAGCAGAGCTGGGCTCTGGAGAGTTTTCAGGGGCTGATCTTTTGGCAGTAGATTGCCAGGCCTTTCTTCCAAAGCACCTCTAGGTGGATTCAAACCTCCAACCTTGCAATTAGCTGAGTTAACATTTGTGCCACCCAGGGACTCAAGGTAGTCAAGGCCTCTTGTTTTGTATGCTTGGGCACAGACTGGGCTTCTAATCCCAACCAGCACCCTTCCAAGTGAATAGAGAGACTTCTGCATGGCCAGAGACAAACATTCAGGTGATGTAGCTCAAGAAATTAATATAATAGAATATTATTCAGCCATGAAAAAGAATGAAGTTCTGACACATGCTACAGCACAGATGAACCTTGAAAACATTGTCCTGAGTGAAATAAATCAGACACAAAAGTACTTATATTGTATGATTGCACTTATAAGAAATACCTGTAATGGGCAAGTACATAGAAACCAAGTTTATTAGTAGTTACCAGGGACAGGTGGGAGTGCCAAAGAGGTGTTATTTCTTAAGGAATACTGAATTTATGCTCATTGCCATTGAGAAGAGTCCAACACATAGCTATCCTCACTGGGTTTCCAAGGCTAGATTGCCTCATATTCCCCCCATGGAGCACCTGGTGGGTTTGAACAGCTGACCTTCTGGTTAGCAGCCAAATGCTTTACTCACGACACCACCAAAGCTCCTTGAATTTATGTTAAGGGAGATGAAAAGATTTGGAAGTGCATAGTGGTAATGCCTGTACAACATGGTGAGTATACTCGGTGTCACTAAATTGTACACATAGAAATAAAATGGCAAATGTATTGTTATGTGTATTTTACCACAATAACATTTAAAGAAAAAAATCAAGGTGAAATAAAGACATTTCTTAGACCAAAGAAAAGAAAAGAAATTAAACCCATGTATTTTGTCATTGGACAAGTATTGCTTGTGTGTCTATGACATGCCAGGCATTGTCCTTGGCATGCATAGCTTAAAGTAAGTCCTTTAGTGGGATCTGTGATGGTGGGTCAGGAGTATACTTTCACTTACAAACGACAGAACATGTGATCCTTTATTTAAGCCTAATCTTGGGATGGGTGCAGTGGTTTCTGAAGGGGCATTGGGACAATTCTATTTATCCATTCATATACAAATTATAGACAAGACACTGTAGTTAATGACTGCTTCTGGACTCCAGATGGGATTAGGATGAAATTAACTTACCTCCAATGGAGGAATACATTGTGGTCAATTAAGTATTTTGTTCACAAAGGTCATGGTAGGATTGTTGTTGTTGTTGTTGTTTGCCATCGAGTCGGCCCCGACTCATAGCGACCCCTCCTTGGGTTTCCGAGGCAGTATCACTACGGAAGTAGGAATGCCCAAATGATTTCCCTTTTTAGAGAGGAAGATTGAGGTCTGCTGTGAGAGGTGAGCACCTTTGTTCTTGGGAACAGAGCGAGTAGGTGGCAATCTCTTGCTTTAACCTACAATATGTCTCTCTCGGCCTTTCAGTCTAATGACCCTTGCAATCAAGGTAAAAATATGAGATATTATGAAAATATAAATAAGGAAGTCTGGGGACATTATGTGTGTGCCCATTGAAAATGAAATTTAGGCTTATTCTGCTTTTACATGAGTTTAAGTTGAGCAAATGCCCAGGATAGACGTTGAATAGACTGCTACATTTCTTGAGTCCTGACAGGTTACTGGAAGGCATTGTAATTCTGTTGCTATAAGGAGAACAGAAGTTATATCATTACTGCTTGAGAAAATGTGCAAGAGCGAATGTGATACTTAAGCCAAATGATTACGTAAAGCAAAAAGAAAAGCCAAATGACAGTTTACTCCTGTGGCTATGTGCCTGCCAGTGCCTCCAAAACAGGAAGTGGAGACCTGTGAGTCATATAAGGAAGGGTGGTGGTGAGCAAGAGGGGAGAAGGCTTTCCAGAACAGTCATGTTCCAAATAGCCACAACTGCTTCCCTCATGACATCAGGGCTCATTACCAGCAGGTGAGGGGAGTGGTTGTGTGGTCCTGATGACCTAGTTTGAGCTTGGGGTAGCAGCTGTGCTGGTGCGTGGGACAGGCTGGGGTCTGCTGTGTGCACTGTTCTGCTGCAGAGACGAGAGCAGTGGATGGAGGCCCGTGGTAGAGCAGAGGCCCTGGGCCCAAGGCCCCCTTCCTGAGCTTGCTGATCTCAGGCAGATGTTGTCGCCTACAGTTGGGCCTCCTTTCTGCTTCTTCTGCACTTGCCAGATTATAGGAATTACCTGGGCTTTATCAGCAGGACAAATGCCAGGTCTCTACTTCTGCAAATTTCAATTTGTTAGGGCTGGGATGGGGTCTGGGGATTTGTGGAATTCACAAGCAACTCAGGTGATTATGATCAGACTACTTGGGGTGACTGCTTTATGTCCCATGAATGGTGCCCCTAGTGGACAATGTATGGAGCCAAATGAGTTGGAGAGAGCCTTGCCCACCACCACCCAGCACGGAGAGATGACAAGGAGCTGCTGCAACATTCACTTTCTTGCCTATGGCCATGATTCATGAGGGTGTCTTCAACTTTCCAGGAAGTTTGCTGTCGCAGGTGTTCCCTTGCAGGCACTGGGTGCTTAGAAAACATTTGCTGTTGTTGCTGGTGACTGCTCATTGCTCCGCAGGCTTTACTTTGTCCTGTTTGTAGAAGACCTTTTGTTGAAAGTCAACTCAAATTCTGTGGAAATCAGGGCCTCCAGAACACCTGGGAGACCTGTGCATTTCCTACTGGAATCCTGGATGGGTGGGAGCCTGACAGGTGGAGACTTTCCAAAACCCAACACCCGCTAGTGGTGTGGGCTTCCTGCTGGTTAACCTAGTGATTCATGAGCTGTTAGGAAGCAGAAGATGAAGCATTAGAAATGTGAAGAAGGAAGTGCAAGTTTACTGGCAAAATAGAATTGTGTGACCTATTGACTTCTGAAAATTACCCTAATCATATTTGATGCTGATTCATAACTTTTCCTCTTCACTGAAATTTCAACTGAAAAAACATTACTGGAGGGCCTATAGTAGCCAAAGAATGGTGCAAGGATTTGCAAGGATAGGAGAATAAATCATTCAAGACCCTGCTATCAGTCTGGTAGTGAAAGCAGACATTCATTTACTGTGCTAGTGGCAGGAGATAAGGACTGAACAGATGCGAAGAGAAAGGAAGGCATGATTTATTCTCATTGCATTTTAACTTCTCATTTTCTTTCAGTGACGTGTTTCTAGTTGGTGAGATAAGTCTCAATAAAACACATGACAAGGTGACACCTGACTGCTAGGATGTTTCCATTTCCACATCTAGGGACGAGTTGCATGGTGTATATAGGACACAAAGAGCCTTGCTGGCTCTTGCAGGGTATTGTCAAGCCAGGCTAAGGTGTGGTGACTTTACACTCCTTGTTTCTCTTTTCATGTAACTTTGGTACCAGCTTGTGAACTGTAGGAAATATCCATCAATTGAGAGTTTTTTAGGAGGCCTATGTAGTGGTGTAGGCTCCTGATCCTTAACCTAGTGATTCTTGTGTTGTTAGGCAGCGGGAGATGGGGCATTAGGAATGTAAAGCAGGAAGTGCAAGTTTATATGTGTTTGAAAGCAGCTTTTTTGCAAACTTAAGACATTAGCTCTTGTAGGCAGTCAGCCTTCATGTGACTACTAAAGCCTTTCCACGCTGGGCTTTATCTGACCACGTGAAAACCACTGATTAGATCAACTTCATGACACATAGACACAGGGCAGTCACACGTGCAACTGCTTCTAGTCGAAGAGGATGCACTTGGCATCCATCTGCAGCTTGAACTTGCAGAGGTCCCTCATGCAATGTCAGCTGGTGTTAACACTGTAGGTAAGAAGTAAAGAATCCCTTGACTGTTGCAGTTGTCAGACTGGGCAGAGACTTTTTCTTATTTCGTGTTGTGTCCCCAGTGCCTAGAAAAGTGCTTATCTCATTAAAGTTACTCAGTAAATATGAAACAATGAATGAATCCTTCCAGATAAGTGATCGACAGGCACTTTCTTTTTCTTTTTCCTTCTAGTTCATATCAGGTGCTGGTGCTTCCCCTGGCTCTCCAAAGCACATTTTCCTGTGATTCTGAAGGGGCTCCCTCATTCTTTAGCAATGCCACTGGTGCTGATGGATATGTGACTGCAGAACTCTTGGCCAAAGATGTTCCAGATGATGCTATGGAGATGTCTATTGGAGACAGGCTATACTATGGAAAATATTATAATGCACCCTTGAAAACAGGGAATGATTACTGCATTATATTACGAATCACAAGTGAATGGAATAAGGTATGTATCTTTAAAAGCCCTTGTGAACTCTGTATTTTCTTCTTCACATGAAATTTAAATGTTTGAACATTGCTTCCCCATTTTTTTGAGATTGGACATTATATATAATAACCATAAAATATAATTATTACTCTTACACTGACTATTTTGCCTTTATAAAGAATGATCAGGAGAAATGTTTAATGTTGGTAGATACTCTGAACTTCCTAGGGGATCTTTGTTGGATCTGTGCTTGGACTGACCTGGTTTTGGCTTTTCCTCATAAGCTTCACAGAATGCCCTTGTTCCAGGGCACCACTGAAGCCTGCCTTGGAGAGGAACCCCTAGAACTGTCTGTCAACTTCCTTGTACTCCTGCCAGGCAGGAAGCAAGAGGGAGGGGCAGACAAAACACAACACTGCCCTACTTTCTGTTTATATTGCATCCTTGACTACAACATAGGCCATACTCTCCTCTACCCTGGCTTAAGAAGGCCTATGGTTCTTCCAGCAGTAGTTCTTTCATGAGACATATAACTAAATATTCATTAGATAATGAGCAAATATTAGCTGGATAAGCAGAATTGTAAGAACTGGATCAGTCAGCCAGGGGTGGAAGATCTTTTGGAAGAACCCATGTGATGGTTGCATTAGGAGAACCCTAAATTCAATGTAAATTCATGTGGGTTGATAATTGTCATTATGTTGTTAGGTGCCATCAAGTCAACTCTGACTCAGCAACCCTATGCACAATAGAACAAAACTCTACCCAGTCCTGCGCCATCCTCACAATCCTTGCTGTATTTGAGCCCATCATGGCAGCCACTGTGTCAGTCCATCTCATTGAGGGTCGTCCCCTTTTTGGTTGACCCTCTACTTTACCAAACATGACATCCTTCTCCAGGGACTGTCCCTTCTGACAACATGACCAAAGTAGATGATATAAAGTCTGGCCATTCTCACTTCAAGGAGCATTCTGGCTGCACTTCTTCCAGGACAGATTTGTTCATTCTTCTGGCAGCCCAGGGTGTTTTTAGTATTCTTCTCTAACACTGTAATTGAAAAGCATCTACTCTTCTTTAGTCTTCCTTTTTCATTGAAGAATATGAGGCAACTGAAAATACCATAGCTTGGGTTAGGTACACCTTAGTCTTCAAAGTGACATCTTTGCTCTTCAACACAAAAAAAGAGGTCTTTTGCAGCAGATCTGCCTAATGTAATACACTGTTTAATTTCTTGACTGCTGCTTCCATGGGTGTTGATTGTTGATTCAAGTGGAGGAAATCCCTGACAACTTCAATTTTTTCTCCATTTATCATGATGCTGCTTATTGGTCCAGTTGTAAAGATTTTTCTTTTCTTTATGTTGGGATGTAATCCATACTGATGACTGTAGTCTTTGATCTTCATCAGTAAGTGCTTCAAGTCATTTTCACTTTCATCAAGGAAGGTTGTGCTATCTGCATATTTCAGGTTGTTAACGAGTCTTCCTGTAATCCTGATGCCACGTTCTTCACATAGTCCAGCTTCTCAGGTTATTTGCTCAGCATACAGATTGAATAAGTATGGTGAAAGGAGACAACCCTGATGCCTTCCCTTCCTGATTTTAAACGATGCATCATCCTCTTGCTCTGTTTGAAGGACAGCCTCTTGGTCTATATACAGGTTCCTCATGAGCACAAATAAGTGTTCTGGAATTCCCATTCTTCTCAGTGTAATCCATAATTTGTTATGATCCACACAGTTAGATGCCTTTGCATAGTCAGCAAAATATAGGTCAACATCTTTCTGGTATTTGTTGCTTTCAGCCAAGGTCCATCTGACATCAGCAATGATGTCCCTTGTTCTATGGATACACGGAATAAGGGATGGGTTGATAATGGACACTATTTATATTAATACAAACATCTCTTGACTAGTGAATTTAAGGAAAATGCACTACACCGCCAGAGCTCCCATCTTAAATATAAGGTTAATCATTTATTTAAAAATGAGATACTGTGGACTCAAGTCTAATGTGCCATTGTCATGCTTGATATAAAACCAATGGTTACTTTTAAGAATGTGCCTAAGTAGCAAAAGAGGTCATGTTTTGTGACAATAATGTAGGGATTAAGCACTAGAAAGTGAAAGCCTAGAATATATTGCTCTGAACTTGTTCAAAAGGTTTCACAACTTAGAGAAGGCCTTCTTGCTATAAAATTACCTGGAGATCTGGACCTGGAATTTTTTGCTGTAGACCTAGTGGCATAGTGCCTAAGACATTTAACTGCTAACTGGAAGGCTGGCAGTTCAAACTTAACAGCCACTCCTTGGAAGGAAGAGTAGGCAATCTACTCCCATAGAGATACTGCCTCAGAAACTCAAGGAGGGGTCACTATGAGTTGAAACCGACTTGATGGCAGTGAGGTTCTTTTCTGTTTTTCTTTTACACTGACTGTACAATGTGACTACAATTTAGAGATTGCTCAGAGATCTGCTGTCTCAAATTAAGACTTTCATCTGGGAGAGAATGATGTCGAAGCTTAGGACAACAAATCTAGTTTATAGGTAATTTCCTGTGATGTCATTTGTAGTAAAGTTGTATGTCAACTTGGCTGGGCCTGGTTAAGTGGCTGGGCAGCTGGATGTAGTATTCCCCATGATGAGACTGGCAATCAACTCCATGGTGGGACCTACCACAAGCAGCTGAGTAGCTGCTTTAGAGATGTGGTCTGCTTCCCATATATAAGAAACTGTTTTGGAAATGGTCTCTAGCTTATGGCACGCTTGAACCCTGCAGGTAGCCGAGTCATTGTTCAGCAGCCTGCCATGCTCTGCAGAGCTTGGGACTTTTAACAGACTTGAATTAATGGCCTATCATGTGGTTTGGTAACATCGGGACTGTGCCTTTTTACTTGTCAACCTTGGGCTTCTCAGCCTCAGCAGCCAGCAGCTGTCTGGGTGAAGAAAAGCCTCTAGCTTCAGTGGGCCAGGAGCAGGAGGCAGAGCTGAAGTTCAAGGTTGAGGTGCTTTCACCCAGCCCCTAGAGCCTGGCATTTTGAACTTGGACTTAAAGCCTCCAAACTGTGAGAGAATAAACTCCTGTCTGTTTAAGCCATCCCATTGGTGGTATACCCTTGTCAGAGTGGCACTAGGGAACCAGAACAGACTTCATATTTGAATTTCAATTATTTCCCCTGTGGATTTATTTACTTATGTTAATGCTACAGTTGCATGAAAATCAGTAGTGGTTTATTGCTAATTGCTGCTGTTTCTAAGCATTTCTATTTAAAATGGATCCTATAAAAACTGTGTCTCAAAGCTGGCTGGAAAGGAATAGCACAGTTGGAAGAGTCGCAAGTGATTAATTTACCAGAAGAGTTCTCTCTTGTCTCACCTTATGCTCTGTCCATTGTTAGGACAGAGATCTTGAAGTGATGATGACTCAGGCAGTAGGTAACATGACACAAGTTTTCCATCTGGAAAACCAAAAAGGGACAGGGAAATAATCCCATAGATTTCCCCTCATTGCTTGTCCCTGGGACCTCAAGACTTGCTCCGACTGCCCAGATATTCTTCCTATCGGCCTTCAAACAACTCCACTTGACATGAGCTGCTCAGCTAGAAGTGGCTATAAACTGGGTTTTCTCTGGGGGTAGACTTTTGCTGTGAGGTTCTGGGATTCTGAGTTGTAATGTCTTGAGTGGAAATGCCCTCTGCCCTTTGGAACCACAGGCATGAATAGGTACTTGGTTTCTAGTAGGAGCCACTGTCAATTCTACCAGCTATTTTGGCTCAGTCACTCTCCCTCATTCAGCCCCATGGAGTTTTCTTTTGCAGTCACTTACAGTCTTCTCTTGGAAGATCCTGGCCGCTGCTCTGGTTTGCACCCCTTTTCCCTGTTTCAGTACCTCTTAAATAGCCTTCCTTCAAACTCAGCAATCATAACACCAACCCAGAGCTCAATTTCCCCAAATCCATTTCTGATTATTTTACAATTCCTCCTATAAAATTAAACATTTGATGCCTGGTGGCACAGTGGTTAAGCACTTGGGTGCTAAGTGAAAGATCAGCAGTTCGAACCTACTGGTTGCTCTGTGGGAAAGATGAGGCAGTCTGCGTCTATAAAAATTTCAGCCTTGGAAACCCTATGGGGCAGTTCTGCTCTGTTCCATAAGGTTGTTGTGAGTCAGAATTGACTTGATGGCAATGGATAGTTAGCTTCCTCTGGGAAATGTCTTACTGAGCCTTACCATACACAATAACCTACCATTTCCTAACAGAGAAATACTCACATGATACTGGTGAGGACAGAGATGAAGTGTTTTATTCCAGTAAGTCTGAGGGTCTTCTTTACCATGGATGAGATTTCATACATATTCCATTTGCTTTCTGTTTGGTGTTTGGTTACACTTGGGGTGACTGAGGTTGCCATGGATATGTCATCCAGATCAGTGAGGTATTATTACATGCCAGGAGTTCATATAAGCTTGCTTATAACATGCTGAACCTGCTTCTTGCTGAACCTGTGTGTGACCTCAGAGCCCTTTTAAACATAGTTATCCAGGAAGTCAATGCTCAGAAATGTCAAAGGAAATGAAACTTGTTGCTGTTCCTGTTTCTTGCTCACAGTATGTGCTTCTGAGATACTGGAAAGCTATAGGACGTGATCCTTAGGGTGGCTGTTCTGTTGCTGCTGTCCATGCCAATCACTTGAACACTTTGTATGAATCATAAGATGTTAGCACCACATGGGACCTTAATAATCATCTAGTTCACATTAAAGAAAAAAGAGTTGGAATTCAGGGGGCTAAAGTGTGTATTTAAACTAACACCACATTCTGCCTAGTTAAATGTGCTGGTATGTTTTTCTTTATAGGTGAGAAGATACTCCTGTGCAGTTTGGGCTGAGGTGAAAGGTAAAACCATTTTCTAAGAATGCTATCCTTACTTCTCCCCTGTTCGATCTGTGGCATTGAGCTTATGCTAATGAGATCTCTTTTCAAAAGGTCACAAGTGACAGAAACTCAACTCATACTATCTTAAGCAAAAAGCAGTAGCTGGAAAGGATGGGGTAGTTGTGGTGGGAGTAGAGATTGTGGAATCAGAAAAAGCTGTACCAGCAGGTCTCCAGGAACTGGAACTTGAGACTCACCACCGTGAGTGGGGCTCCATCTTTCCATCTGTCTCGTCTCTGCATTTCTCAGTGTGAGTTGGCCTCCCTTTTTTCTACTGCAGGCCATATGGTGGGGAGAGGCGGGCACCAGCTGCCCCAATTTAGCAACTCCAGTGGTGTCTGAGTTATCTAGTGTTGCTAGAGCAGAAACACCACAAATAGATGGCTCTAACAAACAGAAGTCAATTTTCTCACGGTTTAAGACGCTGAAAGTCTGAATTCAGGGTGCCGGCTCTGGGGAAAGGCTTTCTCTCCGTTGACTCTGGAGAAAGGTCCTTGTCTCTTTTAACTTCTGCTCCTGGCAGTCTTCATGTGGCTTGGCATCTCTCTTCCCCCATCTCTGTATCCTCTCTTATTGTTTAATCTCTTTTATATCTCTAGATATACCCTACATTAGTCCAGTCTCATTAATGTAACAACCCATTCCCAAATGTATCACTACTTCTTGCTGAACAGATATAGGGGTTAAGATTTACAACAGATATATTTGGGAGGCATAATTGAGTCCATAACATTCCACCCTCTGCAGCCCCCCCCCAAATTCATGTCCTTCCCACATGCAAACACATTCACCCCATCACCTCATCCCAAAATTCTTAAATTAATTCCAAGGTTAAAATCTCATCTTCTAAATCATCTAAATCAAATATGGGTGAGACATTAGGTATATTCCATCCTGGGGCAAAATTTCCTCTTCATCTGTGAACCTGTGAAATCTAGAATACAAGTTATTTGTTTCCAAAGAACAATGGTGGAAGAGACACAAGATAAACATTTCTATTGTTGTTGTTGTTATGTGCCGTCGAGTCGGTGATTACAAATGGTAAAAATTGGAGAGAAAGAAGGTAACAGGTACAAAGCAAGTCCAAAACCCAGCAGAACAATTTGTATTAGCTCTCAAATCTTGAAAATAATCCTCTGTTCTCTAAGACCATCTGGGGAGTGGCTCTGTCTTCAAGACTGTGTGTTGGCCACAATCTCTGGATTTTGGGTGGAGGCCTCTCAGCCCTGGCTTCAGCTCCACTTTCCCAGCCCACTGTAATGGGAATTCTGCTCCTTCAGCTTTGGGGCTGTCCCATTCTCTTAGTCCATCTGAGTGGTGAGCCTACTCCTTTGGCCCCAGCAATCCCCGTTCTTCTGCGCCTTGGGCGTGGCAGCCCTGACCCCTCAGCTTCAGGCAGTGACCCTATCACTGGCACTCATTAATGGCGGCTCCACACTCCAGAACAAATTGGTGAAGATCTGACTTTTTTTACACCTGGGAGGCTGTGACTTAACCCTTTGAAACCAATGCAGAGCTGCTTCCCAAACTCCTTCCAACAGTTCTGCTGATCTCTGAGCTGTTCCAGGGATGGTCCTTTTCTTGTTTCCTGCTGGCAGAATTCCAAGAGGCCGACAGTGTTTTTTCCTTTTGTTCTCTCTCTGCCTCTTCAGTCTAAACTGATGGGTTTTCTGCTGGGGTAGTTGGTTAGATCCATCGGTCATAGGCTTAATCTCTTTAGCAAAAGGTTGTGTAGCCACATCCGTGGTGAACATTCTAGGATGCGCATTCTTAGTTTGTACAACAGAATTTTCCAAATCTGTAAGTTTTGTTTTCATTTTGCACAGTTCATTTTTAAGTCCATCTCTTTCCTCCGACATTTTACTATAAGCAGCAAGGAGAAACCACATGACCCCTTTAAGATCTTACTTAGAAACCTCATCAGCCAGATATCCAAGTTTATCACTGAGAAGTTTTACCTTCCACTCAACATTTGATCGTAATTCAGACAAGTTCTTTGCCACTACATAAAAAGCATTGCCTTTCTTCCATTGTCCAGTCACATCATTTCCTTTTAAAGACTCACCAGAAGGACATTTAACATCCACATCTTCAGCAGCATTCTGTTGCTGGCACCATATGTGTTCCCTAAGACCATAGAGACTTTCTCTATCGCTCTCCTCACTTTCTTTGGAACCCTCACCAGAATTGACATCCATAATTCTACCAACAGTCTCTTGACGGCAATCTAGGCTTTTACTGTTGGGCGCCTTGAAACTCTTCCAGTCTCCACCCATTACCCAATTCCAAAACCACTTCCACATTGCAGGTACTTGTTAGATCTTCAGCCCTACTTCTTGATATCAAATTCTATCTTTGTTATCTAGTGCTGCTATAACAGAAATACCACAAATGTGTGACATTAACAAACAGAAACTTATTTTCTCACAGTTTAGGAGTCTAGAAATCTGAATTCAGGGTGAAAGCTCTAGGGGAAAGCTTTCTTTCTCTGTTGGCTCTGGAGGAAGGTCCTTCTACCCCTGGTTGCCCTTCATGTGGCTTGGCATATCTTTTTCTCCATCTCTGCCTCCTTAATTTTTTAAAATATCTCCAAAAAGATTGGCTCAAGATACACCTAACACTAATCCTATCTTATTAATGTAAGAAAGAAAACTCATTCCCAAATGGGATTATAAACACAGATATAGAGTTAGGATTTACAACACTTTTGTGTGTGTGTGTGAGTGTGTGTGTGTGTGTGACACAATTGAATTCATACCAAATGGGATCACAAAGTTTTTCAATTCAGGGAAGGACTCTTCCTTGGTTAAAGGGCCATTCTTGGATGAATCATTGTTAATAGGAAATGAAGTACTAGGACTATTTTGGGTCTTGTGCTTACATGTATGGATGGCTAAGGGCAGAGCAATATGAATGACAGCCCTACTCTAAGGATGCATCAAGAGAAGATAAGATCCCCATCAGTGAAATGGGCACAGGAAACATGTTGGCAAGCCAAAACCAGGTTACAAAAGTCCACTGCTTTCTACTATTTGGCTGTTCACCATGTGCACACATATTTACATATGATATTAAGAAAAATATCATCCATAAAGATGATGGAACTATCCCAGATACAACAAAAAATTGAACCCTACTGAAAGATGACTTCATCGTGGGTCTGTTACTACACCCAGTTTCAAGACTAGAATTCCTGGGGATAGTATATTCCTCTTCATCAGATCTAAATATGCTTCTCATGATCTGTGTAGCAACTATGACAAAATAGCAAATTGAACTATTTCAAACCATGGTTTATAATGTGAAAGAGAAAACTAGATAACCAAAATAAATGATCTTGTTTAGAAAGATGGAAAAGAAAGCAATATTCTGTGGTCACAGGCCCATAACTGACCACATCCTGCTGGACAGGAAAAGCAAGCATGTAGCTGGTGTGGCAGCACAGGGGATCACTTGTTAGTTGGGTGTCTTGGGATCTACCTGATGGGAGAGTATCCCTTTTCCATTACCCTCCAAAGCTATACCTTAGAAATGCAGTAAGGAAGATCTTATCTGAATGCTGAACAACTTAAACCTACTACTTCACATTGACAGAGTCATGCAGGCTGGGGATTGAGCAATCAGAGGTCCTTATTTGCCAGGTTTGGGATTTCCCTGGCAGTGCATCTCTTAAAACCACTAGGCAGCCAGCCAGTGGATTTTATTCCCAGAAATTCCATTACTTTGTAGCTAATTCCAGAAATCTTTCAAGTTATGACCTTTGAATCTGTATCTTTCTGTAGTAACAGACTAAAGAACTCTCTCTTTAGCCCTCAGTATCAGCTTAACTCCTTACATCCTGTCCTCTACTTCAGGAAATATGAGGAAGCACTAACACTGCTGTGCTTCCAGGAGGATTCCAATGGATGGTGCTTTACAATGGGGCATCAGTTACTCTGGCAGTAGATGTTCTTAGCAGGAAATGTTTGGGAAGAGCGTGGGAAATTTTATTTTCCCCATTTGTCTGCTTTCCTTCAATCTTATTTTCCATCTTTTAATCTCTACTCCTACCAACTTCAACAGAGGTAGAGGACTTGACTTTTTATCTGGGAAAGGCAAATTGCCTGACCATGAGGCATCTTGGATTGTTCATTTCCAGACAATAATGGCCTCTCTTAACTAAGATGTGTGTCATTCCACTTCTGTGTTCAAATGAGGCAAGCTACCTTTCCTTTAGAACTTTACTGAAAGCCATGAGAAACAACTGTACATTCCAACAAGCTGAAAATTTTCTGCCAATCCATCCCATAAAACTCTAGGGGTAGGAATGGAGTTCCCACATGGGAAAAAACATGTTATTATCAGAAGAATGGAGATATGCAAACCTCCTGGACAGACACAGAAACAATAACTTCAGGAATCCACAAAGATGGTGAAATAGCAGACAAGCTATACAGACCCTCTACAGCAAAGAAATGAGAAACCAATCAAAACAGATACGGAGGATAATTCTGGAAACTTGAGCTCTGATGGAAAAGATAAAGAAGTGGATTAAATATTGATTAGTAGAAGCAACTGAATGAAAACAGTGAATAAGGAGACAGATGGAGCTATGGACTGTCAACTGGCCTATCAGCATGGCCATTTTGAATATTTGCAAGCAATGTTCTCATTAGGACAGCAACCTGATAGTCAGCTCTGCTTACCAAGGACTGGTGGCTGGCAACCAGAAAGCAACTTGCCACATGACCCAACCACATCCATACTTCCTGAAGCCACACACTGGGTAAGGGCCACCACCTGTTTCTGCACCAACTGATCAATGATGGCTACCAATACCAGCCCAGTTCACTCTTAGCTGCTCCAAACAACCAACTAACAGATCTGGGCACATATTTTCATCCTCTGTCACACCCATCAAGAGGCAGGTGGTAAGTTCCTAAATGCTGCCAAACTAGCAAATAGAGTAGCACCCCAGCCACACTCACTCAGATATATC